ATCAACTTACAAGCAACAACAGTCTTCCCTACACAGTCCCGAACGGAAACGCTGGTCATTGAGAGAGAAAAAAACACAAGTTCATTTCGACTTGCAAGTAAGCTGGAAAACATTTGTCTTCAATTCCGACAAGTCATTCGCGGCCCACAAAGTCACCACCCAAGATGATCCACAAAACAACAACAGAGTCAAGAACGCAATCGCTGGTCCTTGAGAGAGAGATACACAAACGCAACCGTCCGTCATCAACACCATCCCGTCACCACCGACGCACCCAACATCAAACGCTACCAAAACGACCCTTTTCAAATGCCATTCGTAGCGGCGCCCCGGGGTTTTCGACATCTGCCGTGTTCGAATCCCGAAAGGGTTTGCCTGTACCCGATGCCTCAAAAGTGACGCGCCGCTCTTCAAACGTCATCGGCGTCTTCCGCAGCGTCCCGGGGTTTTGGGAACCCGTTTTCGACATCGGCCGCGTTCGAATCCCGAAAGGGTTTGCCTGTACCCGATTCCTCCAAAGCGAGGCACCGCTCTTCAAATGCGCTCGGTGGCGTACCAGACAACAACAACAAACCGAAACGGAAAAAAAACGCACCAAAAACAATCCATGACAAAAAGCGCTAAAACCGCATGCGCGCGCAGGCCGCCGGCAGTGCGCATACACGAAAACCACCCCCAAGGGTGGGCACCACCCGGTCCTTGCCGATGCGAGTCCAAAACGCCGCCCATCCGACGCCAACCATCGAAAAATACATCCAACCCTGGTTGCGGCGCCAACAAAACGCTCAAAAAACACTCAAAAAGCGCTAAAAACGCGCCCGGGAGCACGGTACCGTGGGTACGCCATCAACAAAACCACCCAAAAGGGTCGGCACCACCCGGCCCTTGCCGATGCGAGTCCAAAACGCCGCCCACCCGACGCCAACCTCGACTATGACGTCTAACCCTAGATGCGGCGCCAACAAAACGCGGAAAAAAACGCTCAAAAAGCGCTAAAAACGCGCCCGGGAGCACGGTACCGTGGGTACGCCATCAACCAAACCACCCAAAAGGGTCGGCACCAACCCGTCCTTGCCCATGCGAGTGCAAAACGCCGCCCATGCAACGGCAACGTCCCAAAACACATCCAACCCTAGTTGCGGCGCCGACAAAACGCTCAAAAAACGACACAAAACGCACGCGCGCGCACGACCACGGGGAACCTCGGACATCAACATCGCCCCCAAAGCTCCGGAACGTCGGGACCCCGCCGGGAGACCTCCAAAAATCCACCCCAACGTGGAAAAAAAAGAAAAACGGACCTAACCCTAACTAACCCCCTAACCCTAACCCTAGCCCTAACCATACCCGTTAGCTCGATTTTCAGCTCTAACCCTAGCCAAGACCAGTTGGGCTCAAAATCGACCAAAACCAGCCAAAATGGGCTCGGAAAACGCCTTTTTTCAACCTCAAACCTACAAACGCACGCTCCTGGGGGCATCTCTGCCTCTTTCCACACGCCAAACCACCACCCAGCAGGCGCCACCCAAAAAGACCAGAAGAAAAAACGCAAAGTCCAAACTTTCGCAAATAACAACGCGAACGCCCGTTCCCCTGCTCACGACCCTCCTTCTACGTTACGACTCCGCTCGGGAACGCAGACACGTGCCGGTTCGGCACACGCGCCCAAACGGGACGACAAAAACGGACAAAAACGACACGTTTTACCACATTTCAAAAACAACAACGCGAACGCCCCTTCCCGTCGTACAGAACCTCATTCTACGTTACGCTTCGACTCGTGACGACATACACATTCCTGTCTATTCGTATGGCACGCTGACCTTTCAAGTCATTCCAATACGGCCAATGACGCATTTTTTAACCAGTCAATAACGTCTGGATTACGTTTCAAGACACAGAAAAGGCGGCAAACTACGGGTAATGGTCAAGGAACATTGGCTCTGCCACAATAACAAACCTGTGTGTGGTATACCGGATACTTCTAAATAGATTTTCGATGTAGTCCAAGTACGAATCTCAATTTGGTTTGCCTGTACCAACTCCGTCGAATTTTAAAAACTCGTTGCGGGACTTCATCGCTAAGGGATTGGGGTACGCCGAAGCATCCTAAGGTGTTCTAAACCCATTTTCGACGTAGTCCATGTTCGAATCTCAATTTGGTTTGCCTGTACCAACTCCGTCAATATTTACAAACTCATTGCGGGACGTGATCGCTACGGAATTGGGGTGCGCCCAAGCGTCCCAGGGTGTTCCAAACCCATTTTCGACGTAGTCCATGTTCGAATTTCAATTTGGTTTGCCTGTACCAACTCCGTCAATATTTACAAACTCATTGCGGGACGTGATCGCTACGGAATTGGGGTGCGCCCAAGCGTCCCAGGGTGTTCCAAACCCATTTTCGACGTAGTCCATGTTCGAATTTCAATTTGGTTTGCCTGTACCAACTCCGTCAAATTTTACAAACTCGTTGCGGGACGTGATCGCTACGGAACTGGGGTGCGCCCAAGCGTCTCAAGGTGTTCTAAACCCATTTTCGACGTAGTCCACGTTCGAATTTCAATTTGGTTTGCCTGTACCAACTCCGTCAAATTTTACAAACTCGATGCGGGACGTGATCGCTAAGGGATTGGGGTGCGCCGAAGCATCCTAAGGTGTTCTAAACCCATTTTCGACGTAGTCCACGTTCGAATCTTAATTTGGTTTGCCTGTACCAAAGCTGTCAAAAATAGGCCACGTCTTGGGAGACGTGACCCATACATCAATAACTAACACTGAAGTGAATGTGCTGTTTTATAGCCATTTTGGACACGGATCAACGTGAATTCAATTACAAAAAGAAACGTTTACGGCACCGGGAGTTCCCAGGCGGTCACCCATCCAAGTACTATCCCGGCCCGACTGTGCTTAACTTCGCTGAGCGGACGAGAAGCGGTGCTTTCACAGTGGTGTGGCCGTAGACAATGAAGTTAACAAAAGTTTCAAAACCAATGGAACTCGCCGGACTTGGCTTGGAAGCGCCGGGCGCACACGGGAACACCCGCCGCCGACCAGAACGTGAATAGCCGACCAGGCTTGGTTGCGCCGAGTCCGCCCGACACGGGAACACCCGACGCCGACCAGAACGGGAATCGCCGACTTGGCTTGGGTGCGCCGGCCTCCGACGGGAGCGCCAAGTCGGGAGCACCCGGCGCCGACCAGAACGGGAATCGCCGACTTGGCTTGGGTGCGCCGGCCTCCGACGGGAGCACCCGGCGCCGCTCAGAAAGGGAATCGCCGACTTGGCTTGGGTGTGCCGAGACGGGAGCACCCGTCGCCGACCAGAACGGGACGCGCCGACTTGGCTTGGGTGCGCCGGCCTCCGACGGGAGCGCCAAGTCGGGAGCACCCGGCGCCGCTTAGAAAGGGAATCGCCGACTTGGCTTGGGTTTGCCGAGACCGCCCGAGACGGGAGCACGGGACGCGCCGACTTGGCTTGGGTGCGCCGGCCTCCGACGGGAGCGCCAAGTCGCGAGCACCCGGCGCCGCTAAGAAAGGGAATCGCCGACTTGGCTTGGGTGTGCCGAGATCGCCCGAGACGGGAGCACGGGACGCGCCGACTTGGCTTGGGTGCGCCGGCCTCCGACGGGAGCGCCAAGTCGCGAGCACCCGGCGCCGCTAAGAAAGGGAATCGCCGACTTGGCTTGGGTGTGCCGAGACCGCCCGAGACGGGAGCACGGGACGCGCCGACTTGGCTTGGGTGCGCCGGCCTCCGACGGGAGCGCCAAGTCGCGAGCACCCGGTGCCGCTAAGAAAGGGAATCGCCGACTTGGCTTGGGTGCGCCGAGTCCCCCCGAGACGGGAGCACCCGCCGCCGCTAAGAAAGAGTAAGTGAGTCACTTACATTTTAAGGTCGCATCGATATTAACGGCAGGGGCAAGGCGAAATGCCCGTCACACTTTGAACATTGTCGGAGAACATACCCCGGGGGTCGGAGTAACTCCCGGGGAGACGGCAGCGGCAAGGGGAAATTGACCTTACAATCTGAACATGCTCGGAGAACATACCCCGGGGGTCGGGTTCACTCCCGGGGAGACGGCAGGGTCAAGGGGAAATTGCCCTTACAATCTGAACATCCTCGGAGAACATATCCCGGGGTCGGAGTTACGCCCGAGGAACCGGCAGAGTCAAAGTGGAAAGGCCCATCACACTCTGAACATGCTCGGAGAACATACCCCGGGGGTCGGGGTAACTCCTGGGGAGACGGCAGAGACAAGGCGAAATGCCCGTCACACTTTGAACATACTCGGAGAACATATCCCGGGGTCGGCGTTACGCCCGAGGAACCGGCAGAGTCAAAGTGGAAAGGCCCATCACACTCTGAACATGCTCGGAGAACCTCCGTCGGGGTCGGAGTACTTCCCGAGGAGACGGCAGAGTCAAGGGAAAATACACCTAACAATCTGAAAATGCTCGGAGAGCATACCCCGGGGTCGGAGTCGGGCCCGTGTAACCGGCAGAGTCAAAGGGGAAATGCCCGTCACACACTAAACATCCTCGGAGAACCTCCGTCGGGGGTCGGATTCACTCCCGAGAAGACGGCAGAGGCAAAGGGAAATTCACCTTACAATCTAAACATCCTCGGAGAACATCCCCCGGGGTCCGGCAACACTTGAGGGGAAAATCTGCATGAAGCTAAGTTTCTTAATACTTTTTCAAAACACACCGAGGCACCAAGGGTCACCTCCTGGGAATGTCCGAGGCAAAAATTGCGAGCAAGCCAAGTGCCCTAATAGATTTCAGGGGCTGCCGGGCAAAGCGGCATCATTAGTCCTGCACGTGGGGCCCTACCCGAGCAGCCCTAATGCCCAAGGTAAAAAAGAGTAAAAGTGGCCAATATCCTCGGGCGTCGGGAGCAGGACTATTCCCTGGACGAATCAGTGTGCTTAGGGTTCATTTCTCCTTTCTTTTACCATTCCTTCGGGAAAAACGGCATCATTAGTCCTGCACATCGGGCCCCG